AACATAGTACAGGAGATGACCAGAGACTGGGGACATAGTACAAGAGATGACCAAAGACTGTGGACACAATACAGGAGATGACCAGAGACTGCGGACACAGTACATGAGATGACCAGAGACTGCGGACATAGTACAGGAGATGACCAGAGACTGCGGGCTTAGTACAGGAGATGACCAGAGACTGCGGACACAGTACAGGAGATGACCAGAGACTGCGGACATAGTACAGGAGATGACCAGAGACTGCGGACACAGTACAGGAGATGACCAGAGACTGTGGACACAGTACAGGAGATGACCAGAGACTGCAGACATAGTACAGGAGATGACCAGAGACTGCGGACATAGTACAGGAGATGACCAGAGACTGCGGACACAGTACCGGAGATGACCAGAGACTGCGGACATACTACAGGAGATGACCAGAGACTGCGGACATACTACAGGATATGACCAAAGACTGCAGACATACTACAGGAGATGACCAGAGACTGCGGACCTTTGGGGAGCGCAGGGGGTACTAAGAGGCCATTCATAAAGTGCAGCGCAGCGCTTCTCACGCATGTGCAGTGGGCACCTGGCTGTGAAGCCACAAGTTGTCACAGCTGGGTGCCCACACTAAAGATGCTGGCGCCAGGGAGAGAAGACGGCCGGTGAAACCAGTGGTGGTGTGGACACTGCTGAACCGAGGAACAGGTAAGTGACTGTATTTTAAAAGTCAGCAACTACAGTTTTTTTGTAGCTGCTGACTTTTTTTTTCAGCTGGAATTCTGCTTTAACCACTAGCCCACAGGGCACTTATACCCCCTTCCTGTCCAGGCCAATTTCCAGCTTTCAGTGCTGTCACACTTTGAATGACAATTGTGCGGTCATGCAACACTGTACCCATATGACATTTTTATCATTTTTTGTGACAGATAGAGCTTTATTTTGGTGGTATTTAATCACCTCTGGGTTTTTTATTTTTTCTTAAACAAACCAAAAACCACAGAAAATTTTGAAAAAAAAAAAAAGCTTTTTCTTAGTTTTTGTTATAAAATTTTGTAAATAAGTGATTTTTCTCCTTCACTGATGTGCGCTAATGAGGCTGCACTGATGGGCACTGATAGGCTGCACTGATGAACACTGATAGGTGGCACTGATGAGGAGGCACTGATGGGTATTGACAGGCATCACTGATGGGCACTAAAAGGCAGCACTCATATATGGCACTGATAAGCATCACTGATAGGCGGCACTGACTGGCACTGTTAGGTGGCACTGATAGGCAGCACTGACGGGCACTGATAGGCGGCACTGATGCACACTGATAGGTGGCACTGACTGGCACTGATATGCAGCACTGATAGGTGGCACTGATAGGTGGCACTGATTGGCAGTACTGATAGGTGGCACTGGCTGGCATTGATGGACCCTGACAGGTGGCACTGCTGGGGCTACACAGATCATCAGGGCACACTGATCATCAGTGCCTTGATGATCAGTGTAGATGTCCCCTCTTAGGGATGCCGATTACTGGCTCCCCTCTCGAGCTGTCAGCGTGACAGTTCGTGAGGAGAGAAATGCTGATAACCGGCATTTCCCTATTTACTTACGATCAGCTGTGATTGGACACAGCTGATCACATGACCGAGCCGAGAACAAAACGCAAAACACGGTAAAAATGCATCAAAAACGCGTCAAAACTGCGTGTAGAAAACTGAAAACGAACTGCGAAAAGCACTGCAAAACAGACAAAAAGCAAACTGCACAGGTGTGAACAGAGCCTAAGTGAGTTTAATAACCACCTTAATCAGCCACAGAACCTGTGTAATTAATATGCGTTCGGGTTTAAAGGGATGAGGTGGGAACCATAGGCGTCAGGGTTTTTTTTTTACAGCTTCCAAATGCCCCTCAATATTATCCTATGTGTACATACACACATAGACTTTTAACCTCCCTGGCAGTATTCCCAAGTGTAGCTCGGGGTAAAGTTTCAGTACCACAAGCGGTAACCCCGAGCTACACTTGGGAATACCATGCGGCGCTGCTCCTCGATCACTTACCTTGTCCTGCGCTCCTGCGAAGTCCCTCCTGCAGTGTCCCCGGCAATGTAATCCGGCGATGCTGGCATCTGTCATCTGGGTTCCGTCCCCTGCGATGTCGGGACATACGGGGGACGGAAGGGTGGGAAATTTGAAAATGACAAAAAGTGACATTCACTAAAATCACTAAAATCACATAGTAAATTATTACTGTATCAAACCATTTCACATACATTTTGTCCCTAGTGCTTTGTCCTGATCCCTGCCTGCATTTTTACTGTTCTTCCTGCCTGGAAACTGAGAAAAACGTCCATGGCGTCCAAAAAGCATCCCTTTAGGTCAAAAGCAGTTTTAGACCATCTGGAGAACAGCGATAGTAAATCAGAACCACTTGCAGAATTGAATGATAATGATTCGTGGGAATTCCTTATCAGACACTGAAAACGATTTTGCGACTTTACTGAGTGAAGTGCGAACTTGGCGCTATATTTCAAATTTCAGTGTTTTTGTTTGATTATATTATTTAATTAAATGTATTATTATTATTATATTATTTATTATTTTTATGATTATTTATTAAATTATAATTTATGATTTTGTGTTTCAAGTTTTATCCTACCCGGGATGTTTACTAGACTCTTGTTCGGACAGATTTCAGTGAGTTATTCCTAAAAATTACAGGCCTACAATAAACAAAATACATATTTCCATGCAAAAAAATGTACTGCTTTGAGCACAGAAATACGGACATAATCAGACCGCTAGGGAGGTTAAAAGCTGTTAGGACCTGCTAAAAAAAAACCCACTGTGTTTTTGCAGACACTTTTATGGGTGTCAGGGGCTTCCAAACGCCCCTCCATATTATCCTACAGTATATGTCCATGCCAGGGGCGGACTGGCAACTCATGGGGCCCCCGGGCAATAGGGGATCATGGGGCCCCTGTGTCCTTGCCCAAACTCAAAAAAGCCTATGAAAAAGGTACCAGGGGCATCTCATGGGGCCCCCTACTGACCCCGGGCCCTCGGGCAGTGCCCGAATTTCCAAATGGTCAGTCCGCCCCTGGTCCATGCACACATAGACTTTTAGAAGCTTTTAGTGGCAGGGGCGTTTACCAGCATGAAAAAAACCCAGGGCCAGTGCATCCAGGAGCATCAGCGTTTTGGCAGAAAAAAAACGCTTGACGCGTCTTGATGCATCTCAACATGCCTAAACTCGTGTTAAATGCTAGGCGCCTGGAGTGCTTTCTCATTTCAGTGGCCAGAATAAATTATTGTTCTGGCCAATGAAATTAATTAAAGACCAAGTGCTTGATGCCTGTAAACGTGCCTAAACACTTGTAAAATCGTTAGACACTTTTACAAAGCATCAGGCATTTTTTTTTGCCAAAACGCTGCTGCCAAAAGGAGGAGCATTTTTAAAACGTCCTGTGTGCAAGAGGTCTTAGAGTTTGTGGGTGCAGAGTGATACACCATGAAAAAGAAGAGTATTTCTGACTGAGAGCTGACAGGGCTTTGCATATACAGTGGATATAAAAAGTCTACACACACCTGTTAAAATGTCAGGTTTCTGTGATGTAAAGAAATGAGACAAAGATAAATCATTTCAGAACTTTTTCCACCTTTAATATGACCTACAAACTGTACAACTCAATTAAAAAAAAAAAATTTTAGAGGGGGGAAGTAAACATAAAAAAACTAAAATAATATGGTTGCATAAGTGTGCACACCCTTAAACTAATACTTTGTTGAAGCACCTTTTGATTTTATTACAGCACTCTGTCTTTTGGATATGAGTCTCATCATTACACATCCTGACTTGGCAATATTTGCCCACTCTTCCTTGCAAAAACACTCCAAATCTGTCAGATTGCGAGGACATCTCCTGTGCACAGCCCTCTTCAGTTCACTCCACAGATTTCTGATCGGATTCAGGTCTGGGCTCAAGCTGGGCCGTTCCAAAACTTTAATCTTCTTCTGGTGAAGCCATTCTTTGTTGACTTGGTTGTATGCTTTGGGTCATTGTCATGCTGAAAGACAAAGTTCCTCTTCAACTTCAGCTTTCTAGCAGAAGCCTGAAGGTTTTGTGCCAATATTGACTGGTATTTGGAGCTGTTCATAATTCCCTCTATCATGACTAAGGCTCCAGTTCCAGCTGAAGAAAAACAGCCCCAAAACATGATGCTGCCACCACCATGCTTCACTGTGGGTATGGTGTTCTTTTGGTGATGTGCAGTGTTGTTTTTGTGCCAAACAGATGTGTTTTGGTTTCATCAGCAAAATTTAGCTGGTTTTTGCTTTAGGGGCTTGGATGTTTGTCTTCCTTAAGAAAAGGCTTCCGTCTTGCCACTCTACCTAATTGCCCAGACATATGAAGAATACGGGAGATTGTTGTCACATGTACCACACAGCCAGTACTTGCCAGATATTCCTGCAGCTCCTTTAACCTCCCTAGCAGTCTGATTATGTCAGTATTTCTGTGCTGAAAGCGGTACATTGTTTTCAATGGAAATATGTTGTTTTTTTATTGTAGGCCTGTAATTCTTAGGAATAACTCACTGAAATCTGTCCAAACAAGAGTCTAGTAAACATCCCGGGTATGATAAAATATGAAACACGAAATCATAAATTATAATATAATAAATAATCATAAAAAATAATAATATATATAATAATAATACATTTAATTCAATAATGTAATCAAACCAAAAACACTGAAATTTGAACTATAGCGCCAAGTTCGCACATCACTGAGCTTAGTCGCAAAATCGTTTTCAGTGTCTGATGACGAATTTCCCTACGAATCATTATCACTCAATTCTGCAAGTGGTTCTGATTTACTATCGCTGTTCTCTAGCCGGTCTAAACCGCTTTTGACCTAAACGGATGCTTTTTAGATGCCATGGACATTTCTCAGTCTCCAGGCAGAAAGAACAGTAAAAATGCAGGCAGGGCACAGGACAAAGCAGTAGGGACAAAATGTATGTGAAATGGTTTGATACAGTAATGTAATACTATCAGATTTTAGTGTATTGAGTGAATGTCACATTTTAAATTTTTGAATTTCCTGCCGGTTCCGTCCCTGTACGACCCGTATGTCCTGACGCTCGCAGGGAACGGAACACGGAAGACGGATGCTGGCATTGTTCGGAGGAGATGGCTGGGGACGCTTCAGGGGGGACATCGCGGGAGCGCAGGACAAGGTAAGTGCAGGAGGGATCCCAGAGCAACGCTGCATTGTAATCCCAAATTTAGCTGGGGTTACCGCTTCTGGTACTGAAAGTTAACCCCGAACTACACTCAGGAATACCGCCAGGGGGTTAATGTTGCTGTTGGCCTCTTGGCAGCCTCTCAGACCAGTTTTCTTCTCATCTTTTTATCAATTTTGGAGGAACGTCCAGTTCTTGGTAAGGTCACTGTTGCACCATATTTTCTGCACTTGATGATGACTATCTTCACTGTGTTACATCGTATATCTAATGCCTTGGAAATTCTTTTGTACCCTTCTCCTGACTGATACCTTTTAACAATGAGATCCCTTTGATGCTTTGGAAGCTCTCTGCAGATCATGGCTTTTGCTGTAGGATGTGACTAATACAAGGCCATAGATGGGTCGTTAATCGTCCGATTTTTCGTACCATTAGTGGATTAGTTCGTCGGCTGTTTTTCGTGTATTTTGCACTTTCAGATTATCTGGTTATGTTGGGTAATTTGCGGCCGATTTGGACGATCGGCCGATTTTCCCGGTAATGATGGCCAAATTGGACGAGCGTTTTAACAATAAAAAATCTGTGCATGAGCTGTGACCTGAAAGGAACAGAAGTTATGGGGTGAACTTTATGATTTAGTCGGACGATTTTTTTTTATTAGTTGGTGATAACGTCGGCCGAACGAATGAACGATTTTTCGTTTATCGTTCGAAAAATCGGCCGACGTTTGACCCGTCTATGGCCTGCATAAGACAATGTCAGGAAAGACCTACTAGAACAGCTGAACTCCATTTGGGGTTAATCAGAGGCACTTGAAATGATGGCAGGTGTGTACTGACTCCTATTTAACTTGATTTTGAATGTGATTGCTTAATACTGAACACAGCTACATCCCCAGTTATAAGAGGGTGTGCACACTTATGCAACCACATTATTTTAGTTTTTTATCTTTACTTCCCCCCTAAAAAATTTCAGTTTGTTTTTCAATTGAGTTGTACAATTTATAGGTTAAATTAAAGATGGAAAATTTTCTGATATTATTTATCTCTGTCTCATTTTTTTACATCACAGAAACCTGACATTTTACCAGGGGTGTGTAGACTTTTTATATCCACTGTAGCTGCTTGTACAAATAAATGGCAGACTGCGGCTATACGCAGGTAAGCACACAAATAAACATTTACTTGCATACAAGGATTAATGAGTGGCCCTGGATGCAAAATGCGTACAGGGATGCACATCCTTCCATATACACCAGTAAATGCTTGAGTGCGGGGTTATTAGCATACAGTCACAGTCTATATAATATCCCCAAGTCCCCAACTCCAATCGCTAACAAACTCGTGCAGACTCCACCTCCGCAACATCGCCAAAATATGCGCATTCCTAGCCCCAGAAACCACTAAGCAACTCATCCACTCCCTCATCATATCATGACTCGATTACTGCAACTCCCACCTCACTGGCCTGCCTCACCACAGGCTATCCCCGCTTCAGTCGATTCTGAATATGGCGGCCAGACTCATCCACCTTACCAACCGCTCCATTTCCGCCACCCCCCTTTGCCAATCCCTCCACTGGCTTCCGATTGCCCAACGGATCAAATTCAAAATGCTAACACTGACGTACTGTCCATAATTCTGCCCCAAACTACATCAATGACCTAATATCCAAATACCACCCAAAACGCACTCTCCGCTCCTCACAAGACCTCCTTCTCTCTAGTTCCCTGGTCTCCTCCTCCCATGCCCACCTCCAGGACTTCTCCAGGGCATCACTCATCCTCTGGAACTCCTTACCTTAATCCAGTGTTTCTCAACTCCAGTCCTCATGGACCCCCAACAGGTCATGTTTTCAGGATTTCCCTCAGATGAAACAGCTGTGGTAATTACTAAGGCAGTGAAACTGATCAAATCACCTGTGCAAAATAATGGAAATCCTGAAAACATGACCTGTTGGGGGTCCATGAGGACTGGAGTTGAGAAACACTGCCCTAATCCATCAGACTATCACCTACTCTCCTCTCCTTTAGGCACACCCTGAAAACCCACCTCTTCAGGGAAGCCTACCCCGCCCTCTGCTAATTGCTGATCTCCTCCACTCTTCCTACCACTCCATCCCTCACAGCTATTTCCTCCTGTACCACTATCCCCTCCCTCCTAGATTGTAAGCTCCAAGGAGCAGGGCCCTCTAACCCCTCGTGTATCGCACTGTATTGTTATTGTACGTCTCATGTATTGTCTCCAATTGTAATGTACAGCACTGAGAGAAATGCTGGCGCTATATAAATACTGTATAATAATAATAATAATATTTGTAGAGGCAGCTGTACACAAATATCTGTTTCTCCCAAGCTCAGAAATATGCTTGTTTTTCTTCTGATGTACATCTCTGTGCATCTGTGTGAATGAGCGATAAAAGCTGAACTCCAGGCAAACCTTTTTTTTTCTTCACAACAGTCTATACCACTGCCAGGCTTCTATTGCTGACTCTGTCCCTGTTGGAAAAATGTTTTTACTAATTTTCTTTCCAACACCAGTCACCAGGACAGGAACTGAGGGTAGGTCTTCCTAGCAAGGACGATGATAACAGCAAGAACCTGATTGGATGTTCTGTTCCTTTTCACTTTACTTCAAAGGTGTTTTTATTTCTATTTGTGGTCATATTAAGAAGATTTCTCCTCGCTGTCACCAGGATGATAAGAATGAGGAAAAATATTTCCAACAGGGACATAAGACTCACTTCACTAAACCAATTCTCTCTTGTTGCTCCATTATTTTCTATACTACTCTTTACATAGCTCATAGCTCTAAAGGCTCAATTCACAAAGGTGCATAACCCATTTTATTGAGCCTGCTCTGGAAGTAGTGGTGTTTTACCCCTAAAAGTTCTATTATAACACTGTCAGCATTATTTTCTGTCCATTATGATAAAATCAATGGAAAAGACTAATGCACAGGTTATGACTCCTTAAAATAACACTAGCTTCAGGCTGGCGATAACTGTGAACTTCAACATGAGTCTACTGAAGAAAGCATGAAAAGAAGCCATTTCAGAGGGCCTAAAAAAACTGACAGAATGAGGCAAAGCTTCCCCTCCTTGCAAGGCACCTTTGCTCATTCCCCACCTCTGATCTCCAAAAAGAGGGAAAGGAAACACAAACACACAAACATAAATTTTATCTATGTCAATCATGATGTCAGGCGATGTAAATTCAAAGGCCCTGAGGAAGTCACGTGATTCGTGACGCAACGCCTAAGCGTGGTGACGTCATTTCCAGTACGGACGGCAGCTGCCATCTTGGTACACCCATGCAAGTACACCCATGTGTGCTCTCTGCAGTTTTATGCTTGTGGGTTTTGTGGACCCTGTGTTTTTTTCTGTAAGTAGTCATTTGGCTGTTTTTCCAATAAATGTTTCAAGCCTACTGCACTATGGGAGTCTTTTGTGTTCTAGGCTTCTATATGGAGACTGCCTGAGAGAAGATTGGCTGATTACCTCCGTGAGGGGATACCACTACTATTGTTACATGTATGAGAGTGTTTGGTCCCACCAAGAGGATTTCCTGTATTACGGCCAAGGGTACAGATTAGGATCGCCCTCCTGAGTGCTACATTGAAGTGTGTTGACCCCTGGGGGCACAGCGATGAGGTAAGTGTGCACGCTAGCTGTTGGCGGATATTTTTGCTGCAGTGATCAATGGACGTTGTCACCTATTGAATGAACACAGAGTTTTTTTGGACTGTGCACAATAATATTGTTTTTTTGGTCACATTGTTGTTTCTTCACATTATTTTTGGCACATGGTGTTTTATGTCATGCGATTTTATATGATTTAGTACCTTTATCATTTATTTATTAGGTCACAAGTGGTTTTATATTCACTGCATTGAGCTCATTTATTTATTTATGCATTTTTTGTTCACTTGTCATTTCCCTGATGGTTTAATTTTTTCACTTTCTACATTTTGAGGTAGGGCTATATTCACGAGATTGAGGTATATTCATGATCCACTTATTTATTTGTTTACTTGCTGCATTTTTATCATTCTATTTATTTCATTTATGGTATATTTGTTATTGGGGTAGCACAGCACCATTCCCCTCCAATATATTGATGTAAATTCATTTACTTCCAGTGATGTAAATGCTCTTCAGTCATAGCAACCAGACACCAATTCAGCTAAGACAAGCATGCTAGATATCTCTGCCTGAGAACCACCTCTCTCTGATGTGTTTCACCCTTACGAGCTTAATCGTAGAGATGTGTAACAGATACATCTACGGCTAAAGAGGAATAGTGGAGCCTTCAAAGCAGTGTGCTTACAGTGGAAAGCACAGACACAGCCCCATAGTAAAACACACACAGCACACAGTTAACCTTTTGATCGCCCCAGATGTTAACACCTTCTTGTCCACTGCCATTAGTATAGTGTCAGTGTTTTTTATCAGCACTGATCACTGTATTGGTGACACCAAGTCAGTTCCTCCCAGTGTCAGAATGCCCTCCGCAGTCCCGCTATAAGTCGCTGATCGCCCCCATTACTAGTAAAATAAAAAATTCCAGTATGCATAATGCCATTTGTAAACACTATAACTTTAAGGTAAACCAATTAATTTACATGTATAGGGATTTTTTTCTAGCAAAGATATAGCAGAATACATTTTGCTCTAAATGTATGACAGAATTAAATTTTTTAAATTGTTTTACTGGGCATGTTAATAGCAAAAATATTGTTTTTTTTCTCAAAATTGTCTTTTTTTTATATCACAAAAAATAAAAAACACACAGATGATCAAATACAACCGAAAGAAAGCTCTATTTGTGTGAAAAAAAGGACATACATTTAATCTGGGTGCAGCGTTGCATGACCGTGCAATTGTCAGTAATGCAGCACCGCAACACAAAAAATGGCCTGGTCAGGAAGGGGGGAAAGTCTTCTGGAGGGCAAGTGGTTAAGGGACAAGTGCCCCTTCCCCACTTCTAGCCCGAAAAAGGAAATGGAGGCAATATGGGGGGCTTGCAGAAACTGGAAGCCACCTTTATTCTCTTTTCCAAGGTAAAAAAGAGCAGGGGTACATTAATTAATGTATTCCCTTCAAACGGTTAAAAGTA